TCTCATATACAGCAGGGAATACCCCCTCATGAGATGCCTTTCCCCCTTTACAGTCTTTTTACTCATGCAGCAGACCAGGTCATTGATGGGGTAATCAGAGCACACAGAATTATTCTCTGCTTTCAATTGAGTGACAGGCCTAATATATAAATATAGGTATCATATGCAGCTAATTATATTAAAGTATACATCATGGCTAGATCTTGCGTATAATCTAGTCAAAATTAAGCACATATAGGTTTCCCTTGCTCAAAAGCCAGTCGAGTCTGACTCTAGGGTTGCGGTGCTCATCTCCGTTTCAAACCCGAAGAGCCAGCGCTGTCCGAAGACGTTTCCGTGGTCATGTGGCTGGCATGACTAAACACCAAGGCGCACGGAACGCTGTGACCTTCCCACCGAAGTGGTCCCTATTTATCTACTTGCAATTTCTTGCTTTCGAACGGCTAGGTTGGCAGGAGCTGGGACCAGAGACGGGAGCTCACTCCGTCATGCGGCACACTCGGGTCTCGAACTGCTGAACTACCGACCTTCCACAGCCTGCAGTTCAGCGTCTTAACCACTTGAGCCATCGCAGCTCCATATAGCACATATAGGATCCATTTATTTCAGGCAGAGAGATTTAAATGTGGGGCTCAGCTCTTTCACTGAAATCAAGGAGACAGATCAAGATGGGTAGCCATGGCAACTGAAGGAGATTCTTTGGGCTGACAGGTTCTGTTGCACTGAAAGGGACAACATATGGACTTCTGTGTCTGCTTCCGAAGCAGACTTTCTCTTGGTACAATTCCTTTCACCACAAATGTCTGGGATTAACGCCTGCCCAAATTCTATTAGAAACTGGTTGTTTGGGGCCATTGTAAGAGAACTGGTGTCACTGGAATAGTAGGGTGGGGCTGAATTATTTGCAGAGCCAGTTTGGTGTGTTAGGAGTGTGGACTCTAATCTGGGAGAACCGGGTTTGATTCACCACTCCTCTACATGCTGGTGCGACCTTGGGTCAATCATAAGTTCTTTCAGAGCGATTCTGTCAACGGCAGTTCTCGAAAGAGCTTTCTCAGCCCCACCTACCTCACAGGGTGTTTGTTGTGGGAAGGGAAAGGAGATTGTAAGCCGCTCTGAAACTCCTTTGGGTAGTGAAGATATAAATCCAACCTCCTCCTCCTCTTCCTCCTTGTCGTCTTCTTCAACTGTGAAGAGTGGTTCATGTTTTGAAACTGAACTTTAGCAAGTACACTTTGATTCTAAGAAAAATGAAACTAATGACAAAAAAAATATCTTTGTCGGTATTCCCATGGCCCCAGTTCAGACATAAAGGCCAGGTCTTGGTTGGACTATTGAGAGCATGTCCCAGGCTTGCTCACATGTTCCCTAATCCAGTGTCCCCAGCAGACATGTCTGGAGTTTTTAAAAGAGGTACTGGGTACCACAACAAAATTACTGTCACAAGGACGGAGTCCAGTCACAAAACACTGGAAGTGTATATACTTTATAGGGTGGTAGATTTACAGGAAATGGATGCCCTGTATAGTGCATGTTGTTGGGTATGGAAATCAAGTGGTATTGGCCTAAGTGCAATGGCTACCTCGAATTAAAGAGCGAGGCCTCTTTTTCAGGAAGTTGTCGCATTGTACTTGCTTGATAAATACTCCCCCCCCTTTCCAAAAGAAGGGGGCATTTAGATTTGTTACTTCAGGTGACGAAGTATCTTGGGCCAGCCCTGTCAATGAAAGAGAAACATTCAGTTCAGTAAAAATTCTAAGAATATAATTGCTTTTGCAGATTGAGGAATATGCTTCTGGGACACAAGTCAGTGAAAGTTAATCACACAGCTAAGTCCCGTGAAAATTAGCTGTTAACTGACTTCAGCTGAGTAGGTTCCCTCGAGCGTTAATTGAAACTGCTAATAGTTTGTGTCCCTGTGGGGCACTGGGGCACGTGGGTGTATGAAGCAGTGTGATTGGAACAGTCAGTAACTAGAAATGAAACCAGAAATCAGGTTCTTAGCGCTCTTCTCCTATGGACAATGTAGTATCAGTGGATGAAGATGCTTGTGGCAATCACTTTCGGCCTTTGCTCTTGCTTGACACTTCTTCCGTTTTTATAAAGAGTCATATGGATTCTTTCTTTAAAGATGTACAGCTGACGGTGCAGTCGATCATCAAAGAGTAGTTTGCTCAACATTTCTGTGTCCTCTGTTTAAACTGCTTAGAAAAGTCACAAACTCATAAAAAATAGAATTTTGCAACTAGATAAGATCTAAGAACCATTTGATCTAAACCATCTTAAATATTGGTCCATGTAGAGCACAGAGAGAAGTCTGTTCTTGAAGTAAATGAAGTATCATTGACTGTGTCTTCTAAATTTTTAGTAAGATCCAGAAGTCCTCCTTTGCATACATGGGAAAAATGAAAGAAAGGCATGGAAACTACACCTAATCTGTGTTTTGTGTTTTTGTTCTAAGATCTGTACAAAGCATTTATGTATTGGTATAATAAGTATCTTTGCTTAGGATCCTTTACTGATTTTAGGATTTTTTTTAAAAAAAACTAGAAGATCTGGTGCAATGCAAGTTTATTCTTTGTTCCTCTCAATTGATGTCTTGTACAATCCTTTGCCAGCTCCCCCCCCCCCAAAAAAAAGAATTTTTGGGGACGAGGGGCCATAGGTCTGTGGTAGTGCATCTGTTTTGCATGCAGAATGTCCCAGGTTCAATCCTCAGCATCTCCAGCTAAAAGGGCCAGGTAGTAGTTGATGTGGGAAACCACTGCTTGAGAAAGCTACTGTCAGTCTGAATAGACAGTACTGACCTTGATGAACCAATAGTCTGATTCATTATAAAGCAGCTTCATGTGGAGGCGTTAATCTCTTTAGCCAGCATATGTTGTTATATTTAAGACATTCAAACGAATCCAGGAACAGCATGAGATTATGTCTTACCAGCTTTTCCACTAGTGCAAGAAGAAAGAGGAGTGATCTTGTCTGATTCTCTTCTTGGTCCCAGATGAGTTTTTGTCCATGTGGATGTCCCAGTCCCTGGAATAAGTTATGGGAGGCATGGGAAGGGGTAGTATCCAACACAGCAGATGCAATATATATGCCTTGAATAGAGTACATATGTACCAACCTGAGTTAAAACTTTTTAAAAAAATAACTTTATTGAGCAAAAGAAAGGAAGCAGTACATAGAATAATAATAAAATATACAAAATACATAATAATTCCAACTTACAGCCAGTTTCCAAATTCGTATATTAAAATTCCTAAAGTGACAGATTTGTTTTTGAACCTAAAATTAGATAATTAGATGAACAAAGTTATAATGTAACAAGTCAGTAAGATAAACACTGTTTAGTACTTTGTCATTTGAAACCATGTATTCTAACAGAGAATACCAGACCGCTAAAAAACAGTGTCTGTGTTTAGTATTATCATTTTGTATGTTATTATAAGCTATCTTTTCCATAACATAAAATTGCCAGATCTTATCATACCATAAGGTGATTGAAGGGGGTAGATTATTTTTCCATTTAACAGCAATTGAGGCTCTGGCTGCTGCTAGCAGAAAATCAATTAATATTTACTTTGACTTTTGTAAATCACAATCCTCCCACAGAGATAGTAATAGAAGTTCTGGTCTTTTCGGAAGAAGATAACCTGTTATAGTGTCAATATGTTTAATGATCAAATCCCAAAAGTGGGCTATACATGGACATGACCACCAGCAATGGAAGAAAGAGGCCATGGAGCCACATCCCTTCCAACATAGTGAGCTCGTAGAGGATAAATATAATGCAATTTCTGCAGTGATATATAACACCATGTTAAAATCTTGAGTCAATTCTCTTTCCCCCTTATGTTTCAAATGCATTTCTGGGCATCTGTGAGCATGGTTAGTTATTTATGCTGGTTTCCTTTTTGGCTTTTGGGGTTTATTTATGTTAATTATTTTAAGCAAGGGAAAACTATATATAAGTGACTTGGGGAGATGTTTTCACAGCAAAATTCTCATTAGTGATGCTGTGAATTGGAGGTATGCTATAGCGGTCTTCATCTCTCCAGCAGAGTAAATGAATTTGCTGTGAAAGAATGGGAATACTACAAAGATAAATATTGAAGATGTATTTTGATAACTCTAGAGAGATTACTTTTTCTTTTGAATTAAAAGCAGTTTGCTTGCCAGGCATGTTCTCTCTAGCTCTCACAGCTTTAATAATGTTTTGCTTAAAGTGGTATTAATTATGCATTGTTTATTAAAACAGTTTCTTCATCACAGCATTTATCTAGTACAGGGTGAACACAAGCCATCTGATAAGAACAGAACAACAGTTATTACATTGAAAGAGACAACTGCTACTACATTCCTGTCTAATTCCTTATTGAGCTCTTAGTACGTACAGTTGCAGACAATAGATTAAAAGTGTAAGAGAAATACTGGAGACATCTTGCTGGATTCCAGAGAGTAACGTATTGGAATCTGTAACATATCGGGCAGAAAGCATCTAAAGTTAAAAGCATTTCAGACTATTGTTTTCAGTTTCTGGACAGAAAATTGGTATAAGCCACAGGATCTGGTCAGAAATCACATGAAACCATGATTTGATCTTAAACATGAGCCATGATCATGGATTATTACATCGATTGCTTTAACTGTGGTTCTGCTTGTTCACATCTTGGCCTAGGCTAGATCTCTGGCACCGCCATCACTGCAATGCACTGTTATACCCCTTGCATGTAAATGCTTGTATGAATGTACTCGGTAAACAATATAATTGACTGTACAATGTTACACTGAGTAATTATATCACAGTTGTATTTTGGATGTTCTTAACTGCTTTTCCCGTGATCTCTCATATATTGCTATCACTGCAATGCAAGCTGGGATGAGGACATGAGAAAGAATGAAGGCAATGAAACCAGTGTTTGTCAAGGCAAACAAGGATTTGAATGATCATCTGAGAGCTCAGTTCTGGTTTCACAAACTACCCATAGTTGAAATAAACCATGGATTCAGGTTACAACAGAACTGAGCCTCCGGAGGTATCATAGAACCAAGGACTCGAACTTCATGGCCACCTAGGTTCACACTGGGATGTATTGCTGGTTCATTATCATGGCTTTGTACCTCAGTTTCATACTCATAGGAAATGTTCTGCCTGGTGTCTGATCAGTATTTATGCATTGCTCTAGTAATGCATGAAGGGGTACTGTTTTTTCTCCTCCTTGCTCCAAACCTGTAAGACTGACCCACTACACATCGGGCTCTACATGGCAGCAGCTGCTGTCCATCCTAGGCACACCAAAATATTTGCAAGAACCTCAGACTACTTTTCTTCCATTTGCCTTCTTGTTTCTCTTCTTTGCTTCATCTCAGTTCCTTCTTCAGCTTCTTTTCTTTCCCATCTATCCTGTTCCATAGACTTTCAGCCCCTATAGTCACACAGTTGTTGGAGATGTCCTTTGTACTCTTGGAAAGAGTTGGGGTCAGGGGCAAGTCTTTGCTGAACACCTTGCACTGTGAGTTTGTTGTTAGCAATTTATTCACATCCATGGGCATCCTGAGGACTGCATTTAGGTATATCTGTTCATGGACATTCAGATATTTTAGGATTAACTGTGCATGATTGGTCTTACTTTGTAAAATCTTAAGGTGTAGTGCATATATTTTAATAACTGTGTAAATCTCCCCACCCAGGTGAAAAGTGTTCTTGCCAAACTACATGAGAATAAGAAAATAGCCAGTGCTACTCATAACATATATGCATACAGGTGAGTAAGCAGTTCTCATGTTTTTTTGCAAAATAGTGAACTAGATAAAAATTGCTATTGGAGTTCATTCTCTTCCATTAAGAGGATCCAGAAATCACACAGAGGAAAACTGTGAGCACTAATTGCAATTGCCTCTTCAAAACAGCACTGACACTAGTTGTTGCCTATGGCTCCATAGGTGAAGATTAACAGAAGAGTTCAGTAAGCCATGGCTTTGTGGAAAAGCACTTGCCTTGTGTGCAGATAGTCTCAGATTCAATCCCCGGCATCTCCAGTTAAAAGGACCAGGCAGTAGGTAGTGTGAAAGACCTCCACTTGAGGGCCTGGAGAGCTGCTGCCTGTCAGAGTAAACAGTACTGACTTTGATAGACCAAGGGTCTGACTTACTATAAAGCAGCTTCTTGTGTTCAGTGCTGGGCCTGGAGCTCTAGCCAAAAAGTGCAGTAGATCAGGAAGTTATTAAGACTGTAATGCCGACTCAAGGAACACTGTTTCTGGATGATCTTGATGAGACCTTGCCTGCAAATGCCTTTCTGAAATGTCTCACCTCTGTGCTGTTGTAAAACATGGAACAGGAATCTGGCAGCTGTTTCAGCTTGTTTATTCAAATATTTTTTTTTAGCATTTGGGTAACAGCAGGGGATTCCATGAAATAAGCAAGATGGTTGATGCACATCTTGTTAGAGAACAGCAGATCTACAAGACGAAGTGGTACATCTTGTTTTTTGTTTCCAGGATATACTGTGAAGACAAGCAGACTTTCTTACAGGATTCTGAAGACGATGGTGAGACAGCTGCAGGTGGCCGTCTTCTCCATCTCATGCAGGTCAAAAGATCCATTGTAAACATTTTTGCATTTCGAATCCACAGCATCAAAATAAGTCTTATGTCATCAGTTTCTATGTATGCGTATGTACAGATTCAGCCCCTTTTTAAAAACCTGTTCCAGGAGGCAGTGAGGTCAGAGAACTAGCGCTCTGACACCCCCCCCCCCCGAAACCTTCTGACACTGAATACCTCCTGCAACTGAAACACAAGTCCCTAATATTCAGTAGAGAAACTGGAGGGATGAATCATCAGAAACTTATGATCTGCCTTTCTCCCACCCTGTGAGCTTTTTGTTTCTTCCCAGGAAAAATGTAGGGAAAAAAAAGGAAATGTTTCTCTGGGGAGGGGGAGAGAGATCAGATCCATCCTCCCAATTTGTGCAGGTAAAACCCTATGGAATTTGGCTACCTGTAATGACCCTCCATGAAGGCACCATTAGGAGGAACTGCTGAGCAGAGGACAGTCGATGCATAGATTGATATGGAGAAATCAGATTTAAATTGGCCCAAACTCTGCAAGATTTGCCCAAATTTTTGGTTTTGTGAATAACAAATGGACAAACAGCAGGTTTTCTTATTTCTGAACTTGGTGCAGGTGAAGAGATTGGTATACAGAATTAATGTGTAATATTTCATAAATGTATTATACTGGTGTGTGATTTGTGTGTGTGTGATTTGAGTTTTATTTTTATTTATTTATTTATTTATATTTGGATTTATATCCCGCCCTACCCCGAAGGCTCAGGGCGGCTGACAAGGGCACCATGTGCCAAGGTTACAACAATAAACACATAATTAAAAAACAATAAATTACAATAAAATACAGTAACAAATTTGCAATACAGATTTAACCAAGATGGGTAGATCTTAACCTCCATAGCATATTGTTGACAATAACAAGTAGTCATTGCATAGAACATTTTTCTTATATCAATACTTATGTGCATTTTTTCAGATCTTGGATGTTCGCAATGTCTTGGTTGTGGTGTCTCGGTGGTATGGTGGTATCTTGCTTGGACCAGATCGCTTTAAGCATATCAACAATTGTGCTAGGAATATACTGGTGGAGCAGAACTACACTAATTTTTCGGTAAGTTGGTCCTAGCAGAATGACCCTAATAGTACCTGTTTCCTCTTTAGTGCTGCTCTCAAATGCACACAGATATAATTAAGTTCACAATCTTGAAGAGGAAGAATGCAGTTTGAACTGTTCCAAACATTTCCCTTTTAGAAGCTGCACCCTCATAATGTGCAAACTAATCTTCTCCTCATGTTTAAAAGCTATTCAGTAGAAGAGTGTCTTAAAGGAGAAATATGTTGGCTTGCATGCTACTTCTCCTTTAATAATCATTTGCCCGAATCTCCCATCTGATTTCTGAACTTGAGTAGAATTTGGAGGAATGCAGTTAGGAGGTTCTAGAGGGTCAACTTCTGAGAGGAAGACTCTCAGAGCCTAATTACAGGTTATGTTTTCCCTGAGGATGTTCCTGGGTCAGGTGGAGACGTATGTTCTGAAGTCTGTGCTCATAAGCACACCTGGACCCAGTTTGGATTAGTACTGCAGTAGTGGAGGACTTTGACCTTCCCCCCTGCTATTTTCTCAACCTGAAGCAGCTCCAGGGGGGGGGGTTCCTGTTTTTATTTATTTATTTATTTATTTATTTTTAAGATTTATACCCCACCCTCCGCGAAGGCTCAGGGCAGCTAATAAGATGGCAAGAATGCCAACGTTAAAACAGATAAACAGGATAAAACAATATAGTACAATCCAATAAAATATTGGTGCTCCAGATATCACCAGAGGTCATTTCGGGGGGGAACGCGGGGGAACGCAGTTCCCCTGGGTGAGGTGCAGGGGGGCGGGGCACATGATGAAGCCCCGCCCCCTGCTTCCGGCCGCCCCGCTTCCAGCCCTCATTCAGCCAGGAGGAGGCGGGAGAAGAGGGAGGGTAAGTTGCTTCCTCCCCGCCTCTCCCCACCCCTGCCTGCCTGGGGCCAGGGAGGGCCTTGGCGGGGCTTCCTCGCACTCCCGCTGGCCTTGCAGGTCCACCGCCGGGCCCCTGATGTCAGGGGTTGTGGCATATGCTAATGAGTTATGCTAATGAGTTCCCCTAGCTCTTTTCCTACGAAATGACCCCTGGATATCACGTCAATCATTTATCCCAAGATGGAGTTAATCCCAAACCAGTAGCACTGTCATCCCTTCTCAATCCAGGGTTGTCTCGCACACTGATGGTACCCACATGAATGGTGGTGGGGGGTGGGATGATGTAGAAATAATGAAGATGGAATAGTGGTGGCGGCGGCTCCTACTCAAAAGCCTGGCGGAAGAGCTCTGTCTTACAGGCCCTGCGGAACTGCGAAAGGTCCCGCAGGGCCCGGGAGCTCATTCCACCAGGTAGGAGCCGCCACCGAGAAAGCCCTGGCCCTGGTAGCAGCAAATGTGATGTCCCTGGGGCTTGGAATAACTCCCCGACCGTAGTGCCCTTGGGGGAATATATGGGGAAATGTGGTCCCTTATGGGGAAAGGTGGTCCCATGGAGGACTGAATGTTGTTCCATGGAGGGCTGAATGTTCCGTTGTATTTCTACATGTTGCATTTCTAAAACAGGGCAAATAGCACTCCCAGGGCCACTTCAGGTTGTGAAAACAACCTGGAGGAGGGGTATATCTAAATCATCTTTCCACATGCCAGTTTCAGTGTAGGCCTGCATGCTTGAAAAGCACGGCACATCAGAACACACTTCCACCCTACCTGGGGACATCCCCAGGGGGAATGAAATGTGTGCATGTTCAAATGCATGTAATTGTAGTTGGCTACCCATGGATGTGGTGGCTCAAGTGGTTAAGACGCTGCAGGCTGTGGAAGGTCAGTAGTTCAGCAGTTCGAGACCCGGGTGCCGCATGATGGAGTGAGCTCTCATCTCTAGTTCCAGCTCCTGCCAACCTAGCAGTTCGAAAGCAAGAAATTGCAAGTAGATATATAGGTACCACTTCAGTGGGAAGGTAACAGCGTTCCGTGCGCCTTGGCGTTTAGTCATGCAGACCACATGACCACGGAAACGGCGTCGGACAGCGCTGGCTCTTCGGCTTTGAAACGGAGATGAGCACCGCAACCCTAGAGTCGGATTCGACTGGCTTTCGAGCCAGGGAACCTTTACCTTTACCTTTTACCCATGGATTCTAGTTTTTAAGGTGCCTCAGCAGTCCTATTTAAATTTGCTTCAACAGGTTCAAATTGCTGCCCTTTGAAACCTCATGTTTCGTATTCTGCTTGGTGTGAACTGTTCTCAGGATACTATGATCTCTGTTCAGTGACAACAGGACGAAGGCCAAGGGAGCAGACAAACGTTGGTAAAGGAGTAGTAAAGAAGATTTAGTAGTAGTGCAAAACATGGACAGGGGAAACCTAATTGGAGGGACAGAAAAGTCTTTCATGGGAACATGGGTTCTGAAAACAGCAACAGAAATGGCCTGGGAAATAGCTGAGGCCAATAAAGCAGCAGCAGAACAGAGCAGAGAGCTAAGAGCAGATGAGCTTTTATGGAACAAAGAAGTGGAGATAAGAGAGTGGAATATAGAGATTTAAATGCACAGTGACAGGGAACCTTGATTTTAGGAGGCTAAATTCTGGTATAAAATGAAAATAGTCTAATCTGACAGCATTTCATAAAACAGCATTTCATAAAACACATTTCAATATGCAGATGACACCCAGCTCTATTTGATGTTGGGCGGCCAGTCGGACTCCAACCTAGAAGATCTGCACCGGGCTTTATAAGCCGTGGCTGGGTGGCTCAGACTGAGCAGGGTGAAATTAAACCCGGCGAAAACGGAGGTCCTGTGCTTGAGTCGGACTGGATCGGGGTTGGGGCTCCTGCTTCCGACCTTCGACGGGGCACCTTTGGTGCCAGCTTCGGGGGTTAGGAGTCTGGGAGTGCTCCTGGACCCCACCTTAACGATGGAGGCCCAGGTGGCAGCCACTGCCAGATTGGCCTTTTATCATCTCCGGCTGGTACGGCAGTTGGTTCCTTTCCTCGACCGCAATGACCTAGCTACAGTGATCCATGCGACGGTCACCTCGAGGCTAGACTACTGTAACGCTCTCTACATGGGGCTGCCTTTGTCGCAAATCCGGAAGCTGCAGCTGGTGCAGGATGCTGCGGCCAGGCTGCTGGTGGGCGCCCCTAGGTGGGAGCACACCCGACCTGTACTGAAAGTGCTGCACTGGCTGCCTATAGCATACCAGATTTGCTTCAAAGTGCTGGTGCTTACCTTTAAAGCCCTACATGGCCAGGGTCCGACATACCTGAGGGACCGCATTTTCCCACATATGCCCCAAAGAGCACTTCAGTCGGGGTCACAACACCGGCTGGTGACCCCGGGCCCCAAGGAGGCCAGGCTTGCTGCAACGAGGGCCAGGTCCTTTTCAGTGGCAGCTCCTATCTGGTGGAATGAGCTCCCGGAGGAGATCAGGGCCCTGCGGGACCTTTTGCAGTTCCGCAGGGCCTGTAAGACGGAGCTCTTCTGCCAAGATTTCGAGTAGGAGCTGCCACTACCACTATAGAGCGATACTGGCAGAGGGCTGAATAACATCTATCTATGGCCCTGGCCCTCCCCTTCTGGTATGCAAGACGTTGGGATTTTTCTATTCTTGCATCCTGATTGAACTGAATTTTAACTGTTTTACCTGTTTTATATTGTATGCACTTTGTGCCTTGTTGTAAACTGCCCTGAGCCCGCTCGTGGGGAGGACGGGGTATAAATATAATGAAATACATAAATAAATAGGCAGTTGTAACAGTTGCCAAATTGTTTAGTATACAGGCAGTACCACAGATTTTGGAGGACTTTAAGTGCAGCCTGCTGCATGGAAACCTTTGTGGTACAATAGGAAGCCAGTATTCCTGCTTTTGGATACAAAGTAAGGGAGACGCTGACCACCCCTTTGCCAGTGGAGATTCTGAATACGTGTCTGGCATTTACCCACTGTGATGGACTGAATGAGGGCAAGCAAGCAGCAGTTTAAAGCTGACAAACTGAAAGTGTGGGGGATTGGGTGTTGGATCCCCAAGCATCGAGAATAAATCCACGTTTTCAAGAAAAGCAAAATTTATTTCAAAGCGTTGAAGACATACTCAAACACGTTCTTTGTTAGAACTGGGGATACACAGTTAGGGCAAGCATAATAAAGGAACTTCAAATAGATACAGGTCCAATGAACAGCTTTCCCACTGGCGGGCTAATGAAACAGTTGCGCGCCCAGTCTATGGGAACCAGGCAGAGCATTAGACAAAACACAGGTGCAATACTCATGGGAAAAGCAATAGCCAAGCATTACAGCATCTTCTCCCCCACACAACCTCCAGCAGTTATCTTGTGCATTCCAACGCAGGAGCAGGATGATAGAAACCAAGCCGGGTGCAACAGGGAAAGGATATGTACACAGAGGTCACAGAAAACAGAATGGCAGCTTGCTGACATACTGCCCCCCTTAAAATACACTTACAACACACCTCCCGGGCCGGGCGGGAGATCTCCCGGGCTGGGCGGGAGACCTCCCGGTTTGTCCGGGAACCTTCTGTGGAAACTACGGATCAGGTAAGGGGCCCGAATATCCCCTTCTTCCACCCATTCGCGGTGCTGGGGACCGAAATCAACCCATTCGATAAGGTACCAGAGTTTACCACGTTTCAATTTACAATCAAGGATATCAGCGATCTCAAAATGTTCATCCCCTTCCAAAATGACAGGTGGAGGAGGAGTAACTGCTGGTCTCCAGGGAGACGGGCCAGGATCCTTCTTCAACAGGCTCATGTGAAAAACAGAATGCAGAGCACGTAAATTCTTAGGCAAAACAACATCAACCGCCACATCATTTATGACTTTACGCACTTTGAATGGACCTATGAACTTCCACCCCAATTTCCTGCTAGGCCGCAGCATCTTAATGTTCTTGGTCGAGACATACACAAGATCCCCAGGTTTCAGATCAAACCCCACCACCCTACCCTTGTCTGCCTGGGTCTTGTAAGCAGCCTTGGCTGCGTCAAGTGTTTGGCATAGCAGAGGCCATGCTTTTTGCAAGGA